TCAACCGTAATAGGAACAGTTACAGCTGCACAACCTTGTGCATCTTCAATCGACTTAACCTTCGTGACGAGGTCCAACGGCGTCGAAACACTAGGAGGCTCACTCGATGAAGTCGATAAACTAGTCCCTATAAGTGGACTGCTGACACTTTCTATATCCTTATTATCACTGTGACTATTGAGGTTCTGATGGCTACTATTTCCATAGCTAATCGTAGCATCCGTAAGAGCATGAGGTTCAGGCTTTTTAGTAATAGTAGCATCATGTCTCCTAGGCTTCTTAACCGTTACTGTATCACCATCACTTATCCTAGAAGCTACTCTAGGTCCAGTTATATAATTTACCCTAACTGAAGGGTTCCGAAAATAAGCTTTATTCCGTTCAGTCAATCCTGCCTGGGCTTTATTCATATTTGCTGAACTCACCAACCTCTGATTACTCGAATCCAAATTACCGTTCCAGGCTTTTCGAGCAGCTAAAAGGCTTTTATCGTCACACACTCCGGATCCATCTTGATGCCTACCTTTTTCACCTTTTTCTTTCTTTTCTACACTTAGAAAAGCCATCTTATCTGTTACACCATCCGGCTTCTTACGAGGACACGCATCAAGAGAATTTACATCGTTACGGTCACGTACTCGTACTTCATCAGGGTATGCTTTCGTGATATAATTGACAATTCTCTTATCTTCCGAGTATGCTTTAGGTAGAAACGAAGAATCCGAATGTCTCGCACGCAGACCACTAGTAGCTTCCTTATTATTTCCTGTTTTAGCCTGATAAGCTAATCTTCCAAACCTACTACCAGCTATCTTAGCACGAGACATAATAAATTCCGTCAATTCGTTAAAATTGGGCTCTCTCTCCTCTTCGTCCCACTTAAATACTAGCTCTGCCCACTGGGCTTGCATTCGACGAGGTAAGAGCCTTACTATTCGTTCTAAAGTAGTCATAGAGTTAAGTTCAGCTGTACAATTTAACTGTTCTAAAGTTAAAGAAGCATTCTGCATTTTAATGGCCAAGTTCGTCAATGATTCGGGATCATTAAATTCGACATTCCCAGTTCTAAATAAGTCCTCTAAGGTTTCTCGCGCTATCACATGTGACTGCCCAAAAAGCTGTTTTAAAATAACCTTAGCTCTCTTATATCCCGCCTGTGGGTCCATTATAAGACAGCCTTCGATCGCATTTTTAGCTTTTCCCTTACAATAATGAATTAAATACAATAAACGCACTTGATCATCCTTGATTCGAGGTTCTATAAACGTCTCTATCTGTCGTATGAACTTAAAATAGTCGCGAGACCTTCCATCAAAATATGAAAGTTCAACCTTAGGTAATTCTAAACCCTCTATCGATGACTTACAATAATAAATATCAGACATAACATGAGGATTACCCATAAAAAGGTTATTATCAACGACTTGCCTAGAGCCCTGTGATCCGTCGAGCTCTTCCACCCTCCTCACGTGTGATTTTTTTCGGTTTGACATCATAAATAGGATTCAATACGAAAGGTAACAGATACAAAATAGAATAGTTCCAAAATTCAGTTCAGAATTAAGATAAACGATTAAAATTCCAAATGTTTCCTTGTAATTCTTAATAATCCAAATAGATCCGATTATATGCGTTCTGGTAAATATTTCCAAGTATAATTCACGCCAGAAGGATAAACATCAGACTGTAGAATTTATTTCGCCGGCTGCTGTCCTAATCGCGTCCAATAGAAACACACCGGTACGATTCTCCTAGATCCCCGTCCCAGCCAAATCAGAAAGCCGAAAATTCTAGGAGAAAACCGTCTCTATTGTTATAAAAAATGGAAATACAGAGACTTACGATGTTTATGTTTCTTCCAGGACTAAATTACTCCGTAGAGTATCTATTACAATAGCTAGTAAGTGACACTAAGCTCAGCAGCCACCACGTCTATCCAAAAATGTGGCGGTAGCCATATTATATCAAATTTAAACAATATATGTACAATTCAGAAGCAAACACAAAAACTTCAATATAGGTACAAAATATGGAAAGAATAACGACATACAATGGTAAAATCTCAAATTGGAATCAAATAAAATACCAAAAATGTCAAGAGAAAAAGTCCATCATGTCATGGCAAAAATATGTAAACATGGAGGGATTTTCCCAAAAACAAAACATTCAAAAAGAATTCTACACCCCAGTTTCCAGAAACAGGGTTGTTAAAATGTCCAAATCGGCACTAGACATTAAACCTCGGAGTAGTGTATAGAACATAGATAACGCAACCCAAACATCTCTAATGAATCTCCAACTACGATGAAAGTTGTTCCCGGACTCCTACTCCTAGAAAGACCAGTGGATGAAAAACAGATAGAAGATAAAGGCGTCCTACAACTCTGATGAAGCAGCCTCCTGTTCATCATGAACGTGAAAAGGAAAATTGTACGTCTGTTCGTTGCTTGTTAAAACCGGCGATACTGCATTTGAATGTACCTTCTGCATTGCCTAGGTTCACAGTCACTCTGATAATGAAGCATCTAGACAGTTTTACAGGTTCACGTCAAGTCACCCTTTTCTCAAATTCTGGTACGTTTTTCCACAGAGTAGGATCAGTAAGCCAAAGGAAGGAAAGCAGAAGACCCTGTCAAAAACAAACCTATCGATCCCCACCAGCGTATTGGGTTTGCTTATCAAGGGATCAACTGAACAGGCGAAAAAATCAGCCTCAGCGTGAGCTGACAATAATGATGTTTAAGTTTATAGTAAGTACACCAATATCTTTTAACAGTAATAGTGATAATAATAATATTTATTCTCAAAAAACTACGTTACAAGAGGCATGCTAGTTTAGAGGCTAGATCAAATTGTCATAAATGCTTTCACATTAACTGTAAAACTTAAAGCTGTTAAATTAGGTGCAAGAGTCAGTTTCTGATAGCATATTTACATCATGTCACTGACAGAAACAGTATAATACAGCCACATTTTTCAAGAGAGTACAAATAAGGAAGGTGTACAATAGATTCATTTGGCGATTTGCCGAGATCAATAGTGAATTTGTTGGCAAAGGTCAGCTGGAACGCGCTCGATACGAGCTGTGATCCAGACAGTCATGTATATAGGGTGCATGTTCCCTGGAGGCACCAAGGATTTCCCATCGTGAATGGGTTTCTGAAAAGGGAGAAAATAGAGAGAAAAATGCAGCAGCGTTGCAAGTGTATATATATTAGGAACGATCGGTGAGCATTAGCAATGGAAATGGCAACACCATAGCTTCAGAAAAGCTGCAAATCCGGGACGTTAGACAGAATTCCATAGTCTCATTTAATGTCCCAGTGTCTGTAGATAGCATACTAGAAAGTAAGACTGCTTCAAGTAGAAAGTAGCGAGACATATACCAAACAATGCCTAGAATGAGCAGTACTCCAATGAAACTGTTCCGTTTATTTTAGGTTCATAATTTAGCGGAAGCTAAAATTGCATTGAAAATAGCTATAGACTTGACGCAGGTTTCCGAACTTATCCTAATGTTTCAGAAACATTTATTTAAACTGTACTTCCAATTCCTAGTAACACATGACAAAAGTTAGGAATCAGCCTGGAATAAAAGTGAATTTGTTGAGAGATTAGTAGGTGACAAAGCTTGAATCAGTGAGGGCTAGGAGATTAATTTCTTGTTTAAAACGATTATATTAATTCTAGGAAGCTGATAGATTCAAGTGAAGTGAGGCAAGTGGATCGAGTTATAGTTGCATTTGTCTTACAAAAGCGTCTATTTAGCACCATAAAAACTTCTTTGGGAGACTCAATATTTTCCTCATGGACTAAAATATCATCTTTTTAGGATCGGAGACCGGCCATAATCTGATTTGTAACTGGAAACCGCTACAAAACATCATACGAAAAAGTTAACTTTCTTGATAACTCTATTGTGAATTGTTCCTGTTTTATTAAGACCACTGTTTAGAAATTCTGAGAGGCATCGATCAAATCTTCCGATTGTATTTATTCTACGCTTCAGAAAGATGAGTTCCAATAATACTGGGAAAACCCTGATTACCGTCGAAAACCGTAATATTAGGTCTTTGATTAGAATACTATCGGAAGAACTAGCGCTGATAGAAATCTGAACGTTCCGTGTTCCATCCGTATTCAACAACTAGAAATGGAACACTTACGCAGTATTTCACTCACTTCCTCAGTGCTAAAGCAATATCCAAGACGAAGAAAAAAAGGATGACAATGAACGTCACTCAGTGCTATGCACCTACACAGGCTAACAATAGGGACGAAAAAGATCAGTCGTATGGGGGGCTGCTGTCAGACAGGATACCGAATGAAGCGGATCTCAGCAAGTCTGCGAACTACTGAGGCATCACACCACTCTCATTACCAGGGAAGTCTTCCACAGAACGTTTTTGAAGCGAGTGAAAGGTTCGCAAAACACCCTATATCGAGATCAATGGGATTCCGTAACGATCAAGAGTGTATCGACCGAACTGCGACCCATCTAATTACTGTTTGACAACTAAGGAAGCAGAACTCATCACCAACCATCAGCTTCATTGACTTTGAGAAAACAATCACCCACCTAATTAATGGATATTCTAGGAAGACGAAAGGTTGTTTTGCCCAAATCCTAAGTACTTCCGTTTCAACTCTAGTAAACACAGGATGATAAATTTAGGAGACTGATTTTTTCACCCCTTACTTTCTGAAAGACTTTTCAATACACATTCTAGTATTCAAAATGATCTGTATATGTCTCTTTGTGCTACACTGCGTTCCTTCCAATGGCATTTAGCCGATAATATATGACTTGCATTCATGGAGTTTATGACTAACAGGATTGGTAGCTTGACGTAAGAATTATTTAACACTGTTTTCAGGGCATAAGATGTCAGCTGTAAAAACCTTAATCTACTCCCAGTATACATTCATTAAGAAACAAACAGTTTTCCATTTCCAGCCTGGCAGTTTGAAGGATGAAGTTTCATTCTTAACAATCCGCAGAATATTTGACTTGCTGCGGTTCCTGCGAAGTAAAGTACAGAAATGAATGAGCTTGAAAAACTGTTAAGTTAGTAACTTTTGTTCGTTTTTACGCAAATCTGTATCACAGGTAAAGCTACAAATCCAGTATCAGATCAGTATAATTCTGACACCGTGAATGAAATTTCAAAGTTAATTGATACTCAACCTAATGGTCCGGTCTTTACTCTTCGTCTTCTTGCGCATAAAATCAAGTCTCCACACGAAAAGGAAGCTCTCAGCTCTTTAATGGTGAGCGTTCTTAACTTTCTTATAAATTTCAGTTATTGGAGTCTCTATCCAAGCGGTGTGGTCCAACGTTTATATCGGAACTTGGAAAGTTTAAGTTTCTTAACGAACTAATCAAAGTCCTCTCACCCAAGGTAATGTTTTAACTTTAAGACTTTAAATAAAATCATGAAGTACGTCGTGTGACACATCAGTAGTGATTAGTCACATAATTTATATTCGTAATTGTCAATATTTGAAAAAATATTTTGACAGATATTGGGTGTCAAGTATATCGAAATCGTTATTTGTGGTTACTGAGTTTTAAATGATCTCAGCAATTTGGATTTAAGTGATTCCAATGGCACTCTTGGAATACCTCTCCTAACTACTTCAGAGTGATCTAAATCAGAATCAGATTTTAATCATTGGGGTTTTTTTCAAAAACAGTTGGTCATATAGTCTAATTTCGTCATACATCGGTCTAGTTATCATAAAGTTTATGTTATGACTTTTTTCTGGCCCCTATAGTTAGTTACAATTAATTTCATGCCTAATTACTAGTCGCTTGTGAAGTGGTAGTACTATCTACTGCCAGTTAATCAGTAATGACAGTCATCAGATCTTCACATAACATTTAATCGAGCTCACAAAGATATTTAGTGGGTTTTTCGGTAGGGATTATTCTTCATTATTTCTGAAGTAATATTGTTGCATTGGATATCTCACTTTTTCCTGCTACATTGGTTTGAAATTCCTTCATCCTTCAAGATTAAACTTTTAATTCATTGTCTCGAGCATTTTCCATGTGTCTTTTGACTATGTTTATCTCTTCCCCTTTTGTTTGCTTATGTAAGGTGTAGTAATTTAAAAGTGCTTACTTACTTACGCCTGTTACCCTCAATGGAGCATAGGCCGAGTAATTTAAACGTGCTTTACCTTATTGTCATTCACTGTAAACCCCCGTTTAATTTTACATATATGTCATGTCTATTTGAATGTGTAAGTTTAAACGTTGTGAGCTTACACGTTTGTCATTCTTTTTGTTTATAAAAAAGAAGTCAGATGACATATAATGCTTCGCACGTTTCTAAAGTTCCTGTTTTTGTTTATTTTTCAGTATCTAGGTGACCAGACATCTTCGTCTGTAAAAGATAAATGTGCTCAATTACTTCATAATTGGCAACGTGATTTCTCACCAAATGAACCAAAATTTGCTGAGGCATATAATATGCTTGTTCGAGAAGGTATTATAAATACTAGTCAAATAATCTCTACTGATTCTGTCTCAGAGGTAATTATTCAAATCCTACTAATTATAGTAGCAAATTGAATTTATCAAATAGTTCATAATATCAGATAAAATATTAGGCAATGATCACCGATAACGAAATTCATTTTCATAAGATCAACTCTTAGTCATACTTAATGTACACTTTTTGGTAGCATTTTTCAAAGATCCAAATAAAGACGGGTAAACTGCTTTGAAACTCGTAATTTAGTGAGCAAACGTTATCTGCTTAGATTGCTAAAGATGAAATATAGCTAGGTTCTGTAATCTTATACTGCCTCTCAAACAGTACTGGTCGAGTGATAGCTTGTGGTGGATTATCAGAATTTTCAACCTCAAGTGGTGCTCCTCCATCATATACATCCTTTCAGAAATAACGCTTCCATATGAGTTTTCAGGAGTTAGTCTTCAGCTGAGGAATTCACTTGTTGGCTTTGAATACGCAGATAGTATAGTTCTTATCTAAAATGCTTAAAAAATCTAGTATTCTAATTGGATTAGCACCAACACAAGCATGTTTGTGATGCAGTTCACTCCATTCGAGTGTAAAATGACCAGCTTTAGCGCTTGAATCAATGATAAGAAGTAAAGTAGTTGAGTTTATCAACAGCTTCACTGATCTCATCAATTTTAGTAGATTTTTGACAAAAAATTACAATTAGAAGGATTACAACTGTGAAAAATTGGTGTAGAAATAAGTTAATGAAATAATTTATGGACAATTGTTTTTTGTTAAAAACAAAATGATTTCCTTTGACAAAAGAAAAAATCTATTTTTCAGCTATTCGATAACATTTTATTGTGCTCCTGTGCTGTATACCAAATCAATGGAATTGATCCCTTACAGTATTATTACTGTGAATTAAGTAGGCTTTATGTGAATGAGTTATAGAATACCACTGGAAATCCTCTATATAGGCTTTTACATTTATTAAGAATAGTTGTTATATAATCAGTCAATTAGAACGTAGTACTTCTTACATAAGTTCAGGTTGACATACTGCATCAACACAAAGACGCAATCGTCACTTCATATCCCATAGTGGCAGAGATAGTAGAAGTATTAGCAGTAGTGGAAAAGATTAGGATTTGAAGATATAGTTCGAGAAATACAATTCAGTGGGATAAGTTTAGGAAGAGAAAAATAGAGATGATGAGGAAAGTTGTTATATATATTTCCTTTTAGTTAATTTGTATATATATATATATATATATATATATATATATATATATATATATATATTCATTGAAAATTCTTTTTAAAGCAAATTAATCATTTTGCTTAAATTGTCTTAGGTGCCAGTGTAGGGTTGTGGAGCTGAGTTGAATTGAGTTGAGTTGAATTTCATGTGTTGATCAGTGCTAGAACACCGCTGAAAACCTAGAAGTACTAGGCAGCCGTTTCATCTTAGTATTCGGACCCACCAGCAGTTCATATCCATCACTCCCCGAGCGGGAGTCGAATCCAGGACCATCGCTTTTGCTCCCCGGCCTTAGTTGCTACCTTGACGTAGTGGTTGGCTATATTTACTGCAGCATATGTTCCGGTAGGTCCTACCATGCCAGGCAGGTCGATTGGAGAACGATGAGACTAAAAGCAGCTACCCAAGGTCTGAGGGCGAAGTCGTACTGCTGACTGTGATGGAGGAGTGTGACAGCAGTAAGGTGTTTCCCTCAGACAACCATCATCTGCAGCGATGCTGCCTTCTCACAAGGAATGAAGAGTTAGAAAAGGTCAATCTTAAAAATGTCACACCTCACCCCACCTCTTGGATTTCCGTCGCCGGCGGTTATGGTGCCCACTAATGGCTTTTAAGAGCGGAGCTAATACTCAAAAATCATTTCATAAAAAGGCCGTGCGTGACCGGCCTCAAGCAGTTATCCCTTGGGCACTTCAATCACGCTCCCAGGTCGTTAGGACCAACACTAATCAATCTTCCTTTTCAGGTTCCTCAAGAAACACCCTTTTATGGTGTGGGCAGCCAGGAAGTGACAACCGCCCTCATACCCATAACAGCACACGAGACTAAGTTGGTCTTGCTCGCGAGCACTTAACCTCTTGACCGTTAAGCTGGCATCCATCGGTGTTGATGTCTAGCTTCAACTGATCCATGATTTTTCATGACTATCATTCATTGTCTTTTGTCGGTCACTGGGCGATGGTCACTCAAAACCGTGAACTAGTTAAAGTTAGACATTAACACCATTGGAAGCCGACCTAATGGCCAAGACCCGACCGTAGCTGCTACCTTGACGTGGTGGTCGGGCTTGCCTATCGTGATGACCCAACCGAGCTATACTGGCTGGAACATATGTTCCGGTAGGTCCTACCGTGCCAGGCAGGTCGACTGGAGAACGATTAGACTAAAAGCAGCTACTCAAGGTCTGAGGGCGAAGTCGTACTGCTGACTGTGATGGAGGGGTGTGACAGCAGTAAGGTGTTTCCCTCGGACAACCATCATCTGCAGCGATGCTGCCTTCTCACAAGGAAGGAAGGGTTAGAAAAGGTCGACCCTAAAAATGTCACCTCCCCTACCTCACGGATTTCCGCCTCCTTGGGTAAGGGTGCCCACTAAGGGCCTTTAAGAGCAGAGCTAATCCTCAATAAACCTTTCATAACAAGGCCGTGCGTGACCGGCCTCAAGCAGTTGTTCGTTGGGCTCTGCGGTCACGCACCCAGGTCTCTAAGACCAACACTAATCTATTTTCCTTTTCAGGTTCCTCAAGAAACAACCTTCCACGGTGTGGGCAGCCAGGAAGTGACAACCGCCCTCATACCCGTAACAACACGCGAGTCCGAATTGGTCAAAATCAAATCCTTCCTACACCCCGTAATACCTCTCTTATCTCCACGACTAACTCTTCTCACACATTTATCAGAGTGCACAGCTAATGCAGACGACACGAGTTCGCGAAACGTCGTCCCTGGTCTCCTTAAACCCCGCTCTAGACTACATGTTGGAGCATTTAATGTACGGACATTGTATCAAATAGGGCAACAGGCATCATTAGCTGGGACTTTAGAATCTCGTGCCATCGATGTATGCTGCGTCTCGGAAACGCGCATACAGGATCCTAGTAAAATAATTAATCTGATTTCACCTTTTGACAAGGTGAAGCAGCTCGATTTACTCTTCGTGTATCCGATAGCCCTGATGTTGAACAATTTGGTCTCGTGTGCTGTTGCGCCCGACCGAAGCTGCTACCTTGACGTGGTGGTCGGGCTTGCCTATCGTGATGACCCAACCGAGCTATACTGGCTGGAACACATGTTCCTGCAGGTCCTACCATGCCAGGCAGGTCGATTGGAGAACGATGAGACTAAAAGCAGCTACCCAAGTTCTGAGGGCGAAGTCGTACTGCTGACTACTGCAGAGGGGTGTGACAGCAGTAAGGTGTTTCCCTCGGACAACCAGCATCTGCAGCGATGCTGCCTTCTCACAAGGAAGGAAGGGGTTAGAAAAGGTCGACCCTAAAAATGTCACACCTCCCCTGACTCACGGATTTCCGTCTCCTTGGGTAAGGGTGCCCACTAAGGGCCTTTAAGAACGGAGCTAATCCTCAAAAAACATTTCATAAAAAGGCCGTGCGTGACCGGCCTGAAGCAGTTGTCCCTTGGACTCTGCGGTCACGCACCAACACTAATCCATCTTCCTTTTCAGGTTCGTCAAGAAACAACCTTCCACGGTGTGGGCAGCCGGGAAGTGATAACCGCCCTCATACCCGCAACAGCACACGAGACAAAATTGTTCAAAATCAAATCCTTCCTACATTCCCTAATACCTCTCTTATCTCCACAACTAACTCTTCTCACATTCATTTATTACAGTGCACAGCTAATGCAAACGATGCGAGTTTGCGAAACGTCGTTCCTGGTCTCCTTAAACCCCGTTCCAAACTACATGTTGGAGCATTCAATGTACGGACATTGTGTCAAATAGGGCAACAGGCGTCATTAGCTAGGACTTTAGAATCTCGTTCCATCGATGTATGCTGCGTCTCGGAAACGCGCATACAGGATCCGAGTAGCATCACTCATTTGACCTCACCATGTCAAGATAAAGAAGCAGCTCGATTTACCCTTGGTGTATCCGGTAGCCCTGATGCTGCTTCTAGGGGCCTCGCCGGTGTAGGTATAGCATTGAGTCGTAGGGCAGAACAATCTCTCCTTGACTGGATCCCTGTAGATAGTCGCTTGTGCGCCGTCCGACTGAACTGGACAGTAAGGACTCGGAAAGATAGGGACACTCGCCGTTGCCTCTTCGTCATATCAGCCTACGCCCCCACTGACTGCAGCCCAGATGATGTAAAAGATGAGTTTTACAGAAAGCTTTCGGACCTCCTCCAAAAAGTTAAGCGCTCTGATATAGTAATAATGGCTGGTGACTTCAATGCACAAGTAGGTAGACTAAGTGAAAATGAAAGACACCTAGGTGGATGTTACGGTCTCGCGGCTCAAAGAACAGACAATGGCGACCGTCTGTTGCAACTGTGCTCAGATAAGCAACTATTTCTAGCAAACACTAATTTTAAGCATAAGGAAAAACACCTTTTGACCTGGCGACCCCCGAAGTCGTCTCAACGTTGGACACAACTAGATCATATCGCCATCAGCCACCGATGGAGGGGTTCGATAGAGGACTGTCGCTCGTTCTGGGGCACATGTTTAGATTCAGATCATGCCCTAGTGCGAGCGCGTATTTGTTTGAGGCTTGCTGGACGTAGGAAAGACACCGTAAGGAAGCCTCCTAGGGCTTTACTTGATGATAATCAAGCTAAGAAAATATTTCAGGAGGAACTAGAAAAACAGTTGGGCGATCATGCAAGTGATTCCCATCCGGAGTCAGGTTGGAATGATATAAAGAAGGCTGTGGAAACAGCAGTGATATCTGCTAGCAAGGTAAACCATAAGGCTAGGATGAAGCCGTGGATTTCAGTCGCATCCACCGAACTGATGGATGCACGAAAACGCATCCCACCTGACTCTGAACATGATGAAGAGC